ATCCATTGGGGTTGAGCATTGGAGGAGGTAGGGAAAAAAGACTCTGGATCCTTCTGTGTCTGTGTCTCTTCCTGACACCACTTTGTTGATCGCGGTGGTGATTTGTTCACCTCTGAGCGGTAGGTGCTCTCTCCAGAGGGCCTCGACTCCTGACAAGGTCTGTGGCCTTTGAGGAGTGCAGGCTTTGCCCAGGGGGTCTGGACAGGCCACAGTAGGCTGGGTTTGTCCCCAGGGGAGCACAGGGCCACAGCCATTGGTTTCCACACCTGAAGCCTGGCTGGTTTCTGGGGAGGCAGTGTTTGCCAGTTAACAGAGTGGACTTTGGCATCAGGTACCTTGGGCTTAAACATTGGCTTAGCCATTCACTGGCCTGTGGCCTTGGGGAGGTTGCTTCACCTCTCGGAGAGTGCCACTGTCGGGCGGTTGTGAGGATCACATGAAATCCCACTGCAAGCTGTTGAGTCTCAGCCGCTGCTGTCTGCTAGAGTGACTGCCTCCCACACGGCTGCGCCTGGCGGTCCTCTGCCAGTTACTTCAAAGAGATCTCAGGGTGAAATCTGTGCGCTTCTGGTCAACAGCTAGAGCCACGGGGCAGCTCTTATCTGCACCTGGACTGGCTACTATGGGAACCAGCTATTGTTTGTACAAACACCTTGAAAACCAAAACTTAACCTTGGACAGGCCAGGTGCCAGACCCTTTCTGACTTTCACTGGTTGACTTTGCCCTTTCCTGCCAGGAGCTGCCTGGGCCCTCACTCCAGTGGCGGAAGGAGGTGAGGCAGACAGCTGCCAGCTGCCCTGCAGAGCTCCTCAGCCCAGGGGAGGCCCTGCCCCCTTCAAGCCCAGATGCCTGCCTCTTCCTCATCAAATTTCCTTCTGAAAGCAAGGCAAGCACTCATCAATGCTGCCAAGAAGGAAACATTTAATTAACATGTCTCTGTTTCCAATGCACTTATAAACACTTGGGCCCTTGACCACATGTCTAGTCTTAAGACTTCAAAGGGAGCTTGAAAGCCCATTTTGATGAGTTTGGTGTAAAATGAATCAGGCACATAGGGATTTAATTTCCCTCGAAAATTGCACAGCCTGAAGAATTAGCAAAATAAAGGTTAATGGCAAAAACGAGTGCTCGATCCTTGCCATCCCCCCAAGTTTGTATTTTGAAATGGGGAACAAGATCCTTAATTTCAGTGCCCCTTGGCCTTTGTGCTGGGCCGGATGGAAGCAGGATCTGGGAAAGGAGTGGAGTCTGTCCAAGTCTCCATTAACTCGGAGGGGAAGGGGCTTTGTAATCAGAGGAGTCCACTGATGAAAACTCTCCCAGAACACATCTTGTTTAGCTCTGTTTTTTTTCTCTCCGCACAATAGCAAATCATAACTCTAAGAGGGAGTAAAAATGTCACATCGCTCAAGGCAAGCTTGAATTTGATTTTCCCTCTGGCTTTGTCCTAAGGACACTGCCCAAACACATGGTGGGAGGAATCTTTTTAAACAAAGGGATCTTTTTTGCTTTGTGATATGACTTTTGTCTGAGCCCCTGAGCCCACAGGGGACCAGCTCATGTGCCAGGAATTTAGGGTGGCCCACCCCACCCCACTTCTCTCTTCCTCAAGAGTTTCTAGCAGGCAGGCAGGAGATGGGGAATTTACAAGCCTGACTCACGTGGCTCATATCCAAGGGTGTTCCAGGGTGTTTCGTATTTTGGACATGCTTATCTTCCCAGGACAAAGCTCAAAGATGAAAGACTCTGAGAGCCTTTTATGGCCCACATTACACCTTCTGCCAGGACCTTCCCAAGGCACCAGGACGCCTCTCCTTGGCGTGGACATGCTTAGGGCAAAGCTGATGCTGAACATTGGCGAGTGATCTCAGAGAAGTAAACCTTGGCAGAGATGCCAAGCCCTGGAAATGCCAGCTTCAGGCCCAGCTACAAGCAGCAAGTAGCAGCAGAATAACCTGGTGTGTGAGAAATGCTCAGAAAGCACTGGGTCGAATGCTGCAGGTTCAAGTCTGAATCCCAGTCCTAGCTCTGCCACCAGCTCAAACACCTCAGACAATTACTTTCTCTGTGTCTCAGTGCCCTCATCCATAAACCGGAAAAATAATGGGAAACGTATAGTCTAAGATTAACCTCTATAAGATCCTACAACACAACCATCTCCCAACTGCCTGGGCAAACCATTCCCCACCCAAAGCGGCTGGGAGAAGGGCTGCCTGAGTGTTGGGGAGACTCAGCTCCCTAAGGCAGAGTGGAAGGGGTACCTCAACGAGGGGAGGGGGCTTGTAGGAAAGCCATTTAGCATGGTGGTTACAAGCATGAGCCAGGGGGCTCAAATCCTGGCCCTGCCACAGCCTCCGGCAGATCATTTACCCTTCCAGAAAACTGCCTCGGTTCTCTCTCCAATAAATTGGGGTAATGGGACCTACTCCATAGAGTGTTCTGAGTATTAACAGACAAATGCATGTGAAGAGCACATCACAGTGTCCAGTACATGGTCAGGGTTCACAAAATCACTACTGTGCGTGGGTGCCTAAGCTGATTCTCTGCACCGAGAGCTTAAACCCAGGAGGGGCTATGAAGGATGGTGAAGACTGGGTCCTAGAGAGCTTGTGCACAGAGCTCCAAGCTTCAGACTGGGGTGGAGCCTCATCAGCGGGCAAGGATGGGCCAATGACAGAACTGCCAGCAAGGTGGGCTGTTGGTGGCCTGAAGGAGTGGCCAGATAGGTGGGCAGGGAGCTAGTTGGATCAGGTGCTCTATGGAAAGCCCCAGCTCACACCCCAGCCTCCCTGGTTTCCCAGCTTCAGAGTTCCCTTTCCCTTAGCACAGGTGTAGGCCAGAGACAGGCCTGGGGGCTGGTGCACACCTTCCCAGAGGGTTTTACATGGGTTAACAGATCTAGAGTAAGAAAATTATCATCATTAATAACATTAACGCTAGGCACTTCTTGTGATTATCTTCATTTTACAAAGGAGTTTGTCGGAGCCCAGAAAGGTTAAGTGGCTTGCCTGAAGTCGCACAGGGTAGTGACAACCAAGGCCCTGATAAAACCCGGAAGCCTAAATTTAGGAATGGGGGTCTGGGACAGGGTGGGACTCAGAATCCAAAAGCAGCTCTCCTTGTGGGCCGTCGGCTGTCCTTGGGCCCTTTAGAAGGCAGCACTTTCGGGGTGCTTCTTTGCTCCCCTCCCCTTCCCTATCCACCCCGCAGGGGAGCCCCTGGTAGGCCCCCCTGCTCCCTCTGGTTGTCAGCCTCTTGAGCGGGAGGACGGCCAGCCGGCTGTCATTGCCAAGGTGACCGCCAGGGGTCGCCTTGGACACGCAAATTGCTGCAGCCCCAGCGGGCGGAAGGCGCGAGGTCACCAAAGTCCGGAGGAGGGGACCCTCACCTCTGCCCCCTCCTGCTCCCCGCACCTGGGCTTGCCAGCCTGGGGCGGGGGCGCTCTGGGTCAGAGAGGCTTTCTCGAGTTTGGAGATCGTACGCCACGTCGCGGTCCTGCCACCCCTCGGTTCGGCAACTGCTGACCCCCCCCTCC